GTTTACATTCAACTCACGACTTGGTGGAGTTTGATATGATCCGTGTGTGGCGTATTCGTCTTCGACGTAATACACTGGAATGGGTCCTTGGACAGCTTCACTGACAGCAATGTGCGTGGCGGTGATGCTCTTCAATTTGGTTGTCGGCGGGATAGGAACAACTCGAAATACTCGACCGACACGACAAACCAGAATTGAATAAGTTGATCGAATTGCACACTCTACTCGAACGGCGGTGATACAGTTCCAAACGATTGGCGGTGGACTACGAGTATACGTCGTCTCACGGCACGAGATACTAGTTGATACGCGGCGGCACGGCTCTGACGGCGGCGGCTCGACGTAATAACAGTGTTATCAAAAGTAACACGAGGGACAGCGGATGATACGCGGCAGCACGGCTCGGACGGCGGCGGCTCGACGTAATAACAGCGTTACTGGGGTTGCCGGGGCGGACTGTATACTGCATCCGTGTCTAACGAGCTTAAAAGACTCGTCCGGCTTGCAATAAGTCGTAGGGCGTATGCTGGTTTGTCGAATGAGTAGTGTCCGTATCTAACGAGTGGTATGCTCGTCCGGCTCACTACTGCATTCGACACAGCGGGGAAGTGGTGCTCTGGACGGCGTTTTCGAGGTCTATATATGCTATTCTCGGATTATCGATGGCGTGTAAAATGTATGAAATGCTTTTGCGGATTTCGATGTTTTCTTGGCAGCTTAAAATACATTAAAAATACCCATCATGTAGCGTAGGTTCTGTAGAATTTTATAGTAGTATGAAAATGGTTTTAAGTTGCGGGGTTTTTCATGAACAAGGAGTTTCCCCGGGGCCGCCGTATCGTCTGTATTGGCATGGCGATGTGTGCTCCGCCTGTCGGACGTCAATTACGGTGGTCATGATGTTCTGGGCATGTTTGCAGCACGAGAGCGCGTGTTGGTCGGCGGGCGGATATATAGGTACCGCGGTTTTGTTCCGTTACAAACTCGTTAAATTTGGGTAGTATCCATTCTAAAAAAAAAAGAAATATAATTTTATGAATTTATCATTTAAAGAATTATAAATCTGTTCCGTCGAAAGAAGTTTTTGGTCTAAGTATGTGTAGTTTATGTGTCATTGAAATATAGTCTTAAGGCTTCCCATTGTTCCAAAATTCTGTTTACTATAGTTTCTAAGGAAAGCCATCTGGTCTGTGAAGGGTGTAAAATTTTTTTTGGTTTAAGATCCATGAATAATTGAAACTGTTTTAAAGTACTTTGCCTTTTAGCACTGCTGTGTAAAAAGTTAAAGATATTCCGAGCCATATCCTCACAAGATCTTGGTATTTGTTTACATGCTTCTGATGCACATAAATGTGCACTATGGCATATACATTTTAGTATAAAAATACCTGGACACATCTGATGAAATCTAGTTGCCACTGAATTCTTAGAGCCCATCATCACATTGCACCCATCAGAGCCGAATCCAATTATATTTTCTAACGGAATTTTAAAACGATTCAACGTTGCAATCAGCCAATTAAATAAATGTTCAGCTGTAGCTGCTGGTTGTTTATCAATTGGGATATCAAACACATCATGTAATTCCCAAAATTTTGATTCAACATGTTTTGTCGATTCATCATAAAATCTGAAAATAGTACATTTAAAAGTTTATTTAAATACTATATTATTTGTATATTATTTTGAATTGTTAATATTTTACCTCACTACTACACAAGATGTTTTTACTGTACCGATGTCTGTAGATTCATCAGTCAGAATGCTAAATTTACATTTCATCAATTGTGCAGCTAGATTATCTTTATGCGAAGCTCCTATCACATTTTTGATGATTGCTGTGGTTTTGGTTCTTTTAAGATTTATTTCTTGGGCAATTTTTGAATCTGGAAATATTTCTTTAAGTAGATCAGATAAATGATCCATTGCCATAAATGAAACATTGTGTTCTGCTATAAATCCAGACAGTTTTATTTCTGCTTTAGAAACATCAGTAATCAAATTGGTTGGTGCTGTTTTGAAGAATGTTGATATAGGTTTTTTCAACTGTTTGCAATTTTGCAAATGCTTTATACCTTTACCATGCATTTTAATGTTTGTCAATTCACCAACCATTATAATATTACACACTTTGCATTTAGCTTTAAAAGCATCAGTTTCTACTGGAAGTAACCATGATTTTAAATCTGATAAATTTAACCATTCGTCTCTAAATTTTTGAGCTCTATGAGTTTGCTTTCTTTTTTTTGTCTTTGAAGTACCTGCATGATCATCTTCACTTTCACTAGTCTCGTGCATGTTTAAATATTTAAAAAAAAACAATAACAAATATAACAATTTATAAATAATAAATAACTTTAAGTTTATATTGACATATCTAGACACGCGGTAGCGTGTCAAGCCAAGTTCTAGCTAACAGAACTGGCGAGCAGCACCGTGTGTAATATTACACGAACCATTTGGAGCCACTTTTGACCCCCTCATAACTCAAAAACTATTCCACATAAACATGTCAAATTTTGCTCATATATTGAGACTAACGAGATACATATGTGCTCTAAATTTCATAAACACACTTCAAACCGTTATTTAGATATTAACGTCCAAAAATCGTCATTTTTATCACTGACTTACCTATAGATCAAAATTCTAACCCAGTTCCAGATGACCTAGAAAGTTCAAATTTGGCATACAGATAGGTAGTTAGGTAAATACAAAGGAAAAAATCAGAAACATGAAAATTTTTAATTTAAAATTTTTTAATTTTTAATTTTTTAATCAATTGATTTTATTATAATTTTGCAATTATTTTATCTATTATGTTTAATTTTTCAATTTATTAATGAATTGCCTCTAATTTAATGTAATGTTGACTTAAATTACCTTTCCCGTATCGCCGCTCCAAAAATACGACTAGCCGAATATGTGTCGATATTGTCGACCCGCGCGCAGCAACATACTTTTTTTTCTATCTATGTATGTAATTAATATTATTTTTATTAAATATTACAATTAAAATAATTAAATAATTATTCTTAAAAATTATGAATAATCCACCCAACAGTAGAAACTACAGTCAATAAAATTATGATAATTAAAAATATACTCAAAAAGAGTTTAAATAATTTTATATTAATTTTACATATATTTTATACTCTGTATATACAACGGAAAATATTTTATAATAAATATTATTATTAATATTAGTAACTGAATTATATTATATAGTAATAAACTTTATTTATAGAATACGTCATGGCTAGGTTAGATTAGGTTATAATAATTTACATACAAAAAGTAATGATATCCCACCAAAAACATATATGTAAAATGAGAGCCAAGTTCAGTACTATAATATATGCCTTGGTTGTTGACTTCAACGACAAAAGAAGTGAGATCTAAATGGGTGCCAAGTTAGGATAATATATTGAAGCCTAAGGTCTGACTTGGCTACGAATTATATATTATAGCATTTGCAAGTTCTAAAGCTTTGAGTTCTTATTTTATTCTTCGGAAAATCATCTTCACTCTTCCATTACTGTTTTAGTAGGTATTTATAATAATAATTCGTATATGAAAAGTAGCCAAGTCACACCTTAGGCTTCAATATATTATCCTAACTTGGCACCCATTTAGATCTCACTTCTTTTGTCGTTGAAGTCAACAACCAAGGCATATATTATAGTACTGAACTTGGCTCTCATTTTACATATATGTTTTTGGTGGGATTACATACTACATAACGAATTCAGAATTATTACAAAATAACGAATTTCTGATTTTGATATTGTTATCAATGTAAATTACTATCTTAGACCTTAGTTCGTGACTTGGAGTTTCTAACCGTGTAGTTTTTATTATTATTATAAACCGCGTATATTACCTCCAACCAGGGTTGCTAACCCGTAACAATTGATTATCGTACACATACATCAAAATTATCGTATTCGAACCAATATAAATCGTACATTTTTTTTTCAAGTTGTTTTAGTATCACTTACCAGTTATCAGTTATCACATACATAAATAGTAAACACCACGGACTAAGGTATATCTTAGTCCGTGGTAAACACTAAACAGATTTTCGATTTTTTGTTAAAGCAATAATAATTATTATATTATATTATATTATTATATAATTATTATATTATAATAAATGAAATATTAGCAATTGTAACATTTTATTATAATAGTATGGTTAAGTTAGTTACCTACATAATTATATGATGATTTGCATTACCTACTATGAATGCTATTTCTTATAAACACAAACATTATAATTTGTTGTAATGATATCGATTCTATTGCGGTATATGGTGGCGAGTAGTGACTAGTGGTTTGACTTTTAATTTGATAATTTTAAGATATTAAGTAATTTATTATTATTAGAAACATAACATTTTTTTTAATTTATAAATATTATTTCTACCGTGTAACTAGTAAATATAATTAATAACATGTATATATAATGTTTATTTACTTTGTGAAATAACAAAAACAATGTTTTATAACAAATTAAAAATATCAATCAAACATTTATAAATCCCCTACAACTGATGTTTCAGTCTCATTATCTTGACCGGAATATAGTTTTGCTTTAGTCATTTTACTGAGTATATCCTTTGAAGGAGTAAACTTAACACAATTGCTCTTACTGTGTCGACCACCCTTAATCTTTTTTTTTGCGTGCAAAATCCCATTGATCGTCTCAGTTTTTAACTTAGTTTTAAGATAGTTGACAGTTGAAAAAACTCAATCAGCATTTGCATGAGGTAAACACAAAAGATTTAATGCATATTGAGCTAAATATTGACAGTCTGATATACTATTTTTTACAAATTTCCTGTTATATAAAGGTTAGATTTATAATTTTGTTTTGATTTATTTATAATAATTGTATATATAATATTTAAATAGTCAATTGGTTATAATTGATTGCTTACCAAAACAAATCAGCGGGCACTCTTTGAGTTTTTGGATCTGTTAACTTAAGTGGTAAGTCATACTCCAAACTTGAGACTATAATGGGCACTGGGCAGTGATCTCCATTCATCATCAATTTCTTGCATTTGTTGTGTATCAGATACTATTCTAGGCAACGATTTTATTAGGGGTAACAGCGTTGGAGAAGTTTCTCTAAAAGAATGGGAAATGGCATTTTGTGGTTTTAACATAACTAATTGTGAGAGCACTGGATCAGCCATGTTATACCGTTTTGTCATCTCTATTGCAGCAACAACAAAAAAATCCCTGCATCTAAACATAAATAAAGGTTAAGTAGTTAAGTTAATTCAAACCAAAGTAGATGGTTTAAACCATTAAAACAAATTGAAAGAATGTAATTATTAATCAAAATTATTTTTAAAAAAATAAGCTGCTAATTATCTTAATAAGCATATTATTTGTTTAACCTTAAGGGGATCGGTGGCGGCGTATATTTAAGGAGTTCAGTATAGGCAATATGTATAGTGCGTGCGTGTGTGACTTGAGACTGTGTGTAGTAAATGATTATTAGTGTGTGTACGTGTCCCCGCACCGTACCATGTTTACCTACTCCACTGCTTATCTGCTAATTCACAATAACTGTAAACAACACTATATAGTTATACGCAATAATAATAATAAAGTATATAATAACAATTCCCGCATTCGCTGTCTTCTAAATTATATATTTTGATTATTCAACGTCCATGTCCCATGATATTAGTATATAACACATTTCTTTACACATCAACATTTTATTATTTACTTAAAAAACCACCATAGTTTCAATTGTAATAATTTGGAAAATGTATTTATTATAAAAATAAGAGTTTACTATACGGTACTAAGGATTAGGTATTAAAAAAACACACGCTTTAGGAATTAATTTGCCGTGTATATTAAAATACAAACTTTTATAAGTATATTATATTATGGTTCCGGTAAACCAGATCTTATAGGCAATCCTCTGTCAAACCTCGAGTCAATGATTTCTGGCACCAAAGATTCCATAAAAAATTTTGTAGTTTGAGGTTCAATATTATTCTTCCAAAACTCCTCATCCCGATATATTTGATCAACAACAAAACCTATTAGAAAATATCTTTTTTATATGTTGATTTTAAATAAAAATTAATGTTAAAACATTATTTACCTTTGGGCGTCCAAACTACAAAATAACACAAGGTTCGTTGTGTAATATTTAACTGTCCTTGAACTTGATAATAATAACAATTATTTTTTTTTAATATTAATTTCCCATTATTGGAAATCAAATATTTTAGTTTTTTATTATGTACAGCCTCTTCTGGCGTATACTCCTTTATACTTTGAGGACACTTAATTTCTATAATTGAGTCCTTGCCAATTAATCCATCGGGACTCGCCGCTAGATAATAAAGTGTCCTATGTATAAATAACCCTGCTGGTTCAATCGTTTTATTATATTGTTTTTCAAAATCTCTTTTAGCCATAGGTTCGTTTTCAATGCCATACCTATATAGTGTAAATTTAATTAAATTTACCTAATGAAACTATCAGAGTACTTATGGAGTATGCTAGATTACTATTAAACAAACCGAGTAGCAGAGTTTCCTTGGAAAATATCATACAGAATGCTCTTGACGGTGTTTGCTCGAGAAGTGCTTGCTCTAAGCTTACACACTTTTCCAAAATTGGAAGCTGTGAGGCGTGACTTTCTATATTTTTGCCATAATGTATTATTTTGTTGGCCTACAGTTTTTCTCTCCACTTCTTCTATTTCGTGAATAGATAGTTTTAAATTATTTAAGAATTTGTTTTCCTCTCTTAAATATTCATCTTTTGGCATATCAATTATTGCACATCCTAATTACTCTACAGCCCCATAATTCTCATCAGGTCCGTCAACAGTTTTTGACCTCTTTGGGAAGGTTCTTATAATAAAAAAAAAAAAACAGTTATATATATTATATTATTTTTTCCTTGACAGTAAAAAGGTTAAAATGCATTTTGATATTATTAATTTATTATTCATTCACTGCATAGTTAAAAATAATAAAATATTATTATTTTTATATTATACATAGTAGGTACCTACATTATAGGTTTAACCTCCCCCTCTATTTTTATTCATAGAAAGTAAACATTTTATTATAATACAATTTTAATTTTTAACTATTAAATAATACCTTTCGAAAATTAAACGCCGGCCTTTTAATTTTTCTTTCGCTTTCTGTACTTTATTTATATATTGTTTTGTGAATAATCCAGGGCTTGTATTCGTTATTTTTTTATGTAAATTACTAATATATTTTGGTCCAAAATTATATGATGTTACTGCTGAATTACACCTTGCACCGTATGATCCTAAAAATTGTATAGGTTGGTTTCAATTAAACATAAACGAAAATAACATTTTTTGATTTACAAGTATACGTAATAATTATGTACCTCTAGAAGAAAAATTGACTCGCTTTCCACCTACATACTTGGCAACTACACTAGCCTTCTACTGCATTATTATTTACGTTGTATATGAGGCTTTGAGCATGATGAGCAACGATATTTCTTGCTCCTAAAATATCCTTAAATAAACCACAATTGTCCATTTGAGGAACTAAATTTACCTCGCCTTCTTTAAGACCGGTACAAAAGTAACTATTAAAATTAATTATTATTACCGTTTAATTTGGTCTTATCATAGATCAAACAATATTTATTACGCACCCCCATAAACTTATACATATATTTTGTTTTATAACCTATAATTGATGCCTGTTTAGATTATAAAAATAAATAAAAATAAAAAACTTATAATCTATACCTAAATATATAAAATAAAAACTTACCACGCTGGACAGTGCATTATAACCACTTTTGTATGATCTTTTCGACCATGCACCGTCAGCTATCACAGTTATAAGTGGTACTCCGCTTTCATTTACATTACCTTCTTTCTTAGCTATTTCAGTTTCCTCAATACCTGCTAGTGTCATTGCTTTTATAGCCGTGACTTCAGTATGATTTGATATATCTAAGTGAATTTTTTGGTATGTCATGATTGACATACTTGGCATATTTAAGAAAGCGGCCATGGTATCTAATTGGGTAAATCCTTGCCCTGTGTTTATAGTTTCCATTGCAATATCAGTGTTAACAGATAATGAATTGTCGGTAGATTTAGGCTCATTAGTTATAATGTCGATTTTATTGCAGAAATCACACTTGAAAATAAATTCCGAAAAAAAACCATTTTTCCTTTCATTTATAAGGTTTAAATTTTGGAATGTACAGCCGAAAGGACTGTGTTTGATATTCTTTATTGAATTAAATAAGTGTTTAATGTCCACAAGTCGTCGACCTTGGCAATTGTACCTTGGGAAAAAAAATAAAAGGTAGAAACAATTTTTCGAGTTACAGTAAAATAAAATTATCGATTTTGTCGAAAACTGGTTTTACATAAGAATTCCCGTTTTTCCGTCAATTTTTTAGGGTTTTCCTGGCGCTATTGAAAACTACTGGGAATTTAATTTATAACCTCTATAGTGCACCAACGACTTTCCTATCATTTATCATTTATTACTGGTAAAAATGTTGTCCTCAGACCCCCCCCCCCAAAAAAAAAAAATAAAAACACATCATTGTAAAATCAATACATTCATCACTTCGTTCAGAATCCAAAAAAATTAAAATTTATAAAATGTATTTACTTACTCTAATTGTATTTTTTCAATTGTATTTGTCACAGCTAATTTATAAGTTGAGTCAAGTATGTTGTTTTGAATACTTGACGATGTCGATAATATACCACAACCTATTTCTACATCATCCGTATTTAATCTAAATAATAATAGAAAAATTTATCAGCTTGGCTCAAAATTTGAGAAAATTCGTAAATAAAATAAAAGTATATTACGAACAATTCAATACTACTTTGTTGGTTATCGTCACTATTTTGACTTTCATCCGGAAAAGTCAAACTATCGGTGTTTACCTATGAAAAACATACACAAAAATAAATTATTCAACAATGTAGGTACTTAATTCACTTACCGTCTTTTTTAGTTGCCAATTTACAAGTGATGAACTATTTCCTCTATTTTTTCTTACTCTAGATAATCTAGATTTTTTAGTTTTCATTTTACCCGAGTTATTATTACAACAAATTACACTTTATGCAAATTAAAATTACAATTTACAAAAATAATGTAAGTGAACCGATACGTATTACGTATATAAACTGTACGCTACAAAAAGTAAGGGACAATATATTTTGTAGTAAGCTGCGGTGCGAAGCTCAAAATATGAACAGTATTGAATGCAGACAAAATATAACAAATTACCAGTATATGTATATTCATATAGTTCTATTAATAATCAGTCTATCGCGGTCTTCGTGGACCGTGGCATGCGATAAGGATAACCGATGGTTTCGAAGAATCACCTACTGCGAGCACAAGTCACCACCGCGTTGTCGCGCGCGTGAACAATCCAGAACGTGTGTTTTATTTGATTAAAACTATGTACCTTATGTCAATCCTACAGATTGATCTAATAATGCGATAATATTTCAGAAAACTAATCTGAATTCGTTATGATGTCGACTTGAGATCGGTCAGTCCACATTTTAAGATTTTTGATTTTAATTCCGAAAAATTAACGTTTGAAAATTCCTAAAATTTAAAATATTCAAACCAAATTTATAGGAGTTGGGGGGTAAAATTTGGAAAAGTGGACTGACCGATCTCAAGTAGACATAATCACAAATTCAAATCAGTTTTAAAAAGTATTATCGCATTTCTACGATTGACAAAAGACTGGTATCTTTTGGCTAAAATAACTGATCGCCACCAATCCCCTTAACAAAAATTAAATTAATCATATTTAATCTAATTTTAATTAATTAATAATAATATAAATACATTAATTAAATAATAATAAAATAAATATATTTATACCTACCTATTATTAATTATTAAAAAAAAAAACATTATATTTTCAATTAAAAATATGTAAAAAAACCTCCAGTTTTACTTTTACCAAAAGTCTTTGAATTGTTTTTAGTATAATAATGTTTACATCTGATAGAAATCCTTAAGTCTCAATGTATCAGCTTCAATTTTTGGGTCCTTAATGAGATCCATGACTCCTATTCCGAGATATAATTCTGTGTTGACCAATTGAAACTCACCATTATTAGGATATATTTTTTCTAGTGGAGTTTGTAAAACATAGTTTCTTTTTAAAAAACACAGTAAAATTTCTTTATACAGATTAATTATTTTGTCATGAAGCTCTAATA